TAAACATATGTATCCTTGATCTTGTTCTTGAATTCGATCGCGTCTTTGACATTATATACGGAGGACATGGTTACATTTTTCAGGATTTTGACGACATATTTACATAAATTGTAAGACGGGGATTTGACGGACGAACAAATAGGTCTGGGTGGATTTCCTTCTTTGTGAATCTTTGGTAAGCCATAGATTCGGGGTGGATTAGCTGTTTTACACAAAAGCGCATTCTTTTCTTTTACATCAATAATTTTATTTCTGAACATTTTCTCAACTAGTTCGTTGTTCTTGTCCTGTTGTCTATTAGTAGGATCACGTTTAAAACTTTGTATGTGGAAATATCGTTGACTATAGTCTGCATTTTTATGTCATATTCTGATTTATCCATCAACACAGTTACATTGCCCTTGTCGGCATTAAGGATCAAAAGCTCTTTATTATTTTTTAAGAACATTTTTGCGGAACGTAGGGTATCACTTATAAATTTATCTCTAACTGAAGTTGTCGTCTTGTTGAGGTGGTCACGTAGCAGTGTCGGCAAGTTGTTTCTTTCCATCTCTTGTTTCTCTTTGTCTTTAATTGTTTGTATATAGTTTTCCCCGTCTGCGATGACTTTAAATAGTGGAAATTGTTTGTTGTCTATGGGTAAGGCATATTTAGGACCCAGAGAAAGAAGCCACTGAATATCGGTTGGAATTTGTATGCTAGTCGTGTTACGGATCCATTCTGGTATCACCCTAATGTTTTAGAGTAGTTGTTGTTTATGTCTTAAGTTTTCGTACTTAGCAAGTTGGGTAGTTTTGATACTTTCTTTCAATGTGTTCGTCAGCACTTCCTCACTTTGGAAGAATGCATTGCAGTCACGTGTGTTGAGGTGTTGTTTCATTCTTGTTTTTAACATATTTACCTCTCTTTCTTTTTGCCGCAGAAGTTCGTGTTTAATTTTAATGAGGAGATTTAAAAGTTTGACTTTTGTCTTGTCGATATAAGCAGACACAGCGTTAGAAATTTTCGCCGATATTTGGTTGTTGTTGGTGTTGTTGCTGATGGTGTACAGAATGTTTTTGGTAGCGTTGTTGATAAAATTTGGAGTTACTCCATTTCTTCTGCACCTCTCCAGGAATTTCGTAGATTCCGATAGCTGTGTGATCCGTTTTATAGAATGTTGGTAGTTCTTGATGCACTTTCTGGCTTTGATGTTATATCCTCTTTTGATGTTTCTGTAGGCCATGACTGTGTCTTGGTCGTCTTGGGGTGCTCTCCGTTTAAACATTGTTTATTTACATTTGGCCGTTAATTGAAAATTCTGTTGATATTTTTTTTGAGCTCAAGGCCGGGTTGAAATAAAACAATCTGTTTTTG